GCCCAGCCGCTCCGCGGCATGTGGGATCTTCCCGGACCGGGGCACAAACCCATGTCCCCTGCATCGGCAGGCAGACTCTCAACCACTGCGCCACCATGGAAGCCCTAAAACAATTTTTACTGATGTCTCTGAAGTTCCTCAAAGGTGTGAAGCCCTGGTCTCAGGTTCAAGACAGAAACTGAGGTTGGCAATATATTGGGTAGCATATGGTAAGTTTAAAACAGTAGTTTGCAGTCATATCTAGGACCAAATCCCAGATCTTTCAAGATATGATTTGAACAAGGAATGCAACTTTTGTGATCAAAACAGGAATACTATTAAGAGCCTTTCAGGGTTTTTGTAAGAATTAAATGAGATAAAAAATATAAAGAAATAAAAACAGTTCCCAGCACATAATTGCTCAAAAAATGGTACATTTGGAGAATGGAATTAATCATCCTGAAAGGACAAAAGGTCAGGCCTTGGGAATGCCAACATATTAGGTGTAAGGAGAGAATGATCAAGCATATAGACTATGAAAATATCAGCAAGAGGCCAGAGAAGATCCATGGAGAGCAGTGAACTAGAAGCAATGGAGGAAACTGTTTTCAATAGTCATGGGATAGGCCAATAGCATCAATTTCAGGAGTAAGGAAGACTAAAACTAAAAGTGTATCACTGGACTGGAAGATGAGGAATTCACTGGGGACTGAACAATAAAACACACTCACAATAGTGAGTCCTCTTGCCTGTATCCTTAGGGATGGCACCTGAGGTTGATTTCTAAACAGGCTTGTGACCAGACATCGGTTTCAGTTTCTGGTTGATTGATGTCTTCTCCAAGGGCCACCATATCCTACCTCTGGAATATTGCTGCTTTTGTCTTGAGTCGATCTTTCATGCAAGGTGGTTGTCAGAGCACCTAAAGGGACGGAGAACTTGAACTTTATCAAGCTAATAGAAGAGACTGAATATACTATTTTATGTCTTCTTGTACACATGGCAGAATGTGACCTAAGGATAGCTTTCATTAAAACCCAGCTCAAGATTTTTCAGCAACTATAATTTTCTATCAAGAATTAACCATTCATTAGGGTGATCTTCAGCCTTTGCCTCTTGTGTACTCCCTCCTTCTTTTCTGTGGTGCAGTTTTGATAAGCAATGAAGTCTGATTATAAATCCTGAGCTCGAGTTTCATTTTACACAACAGTTTGGTGTAGTTTTTTGGGATGTGAAACAAAGACCTTGAGAATGGCAGAGGTGAAGTACAGGGCAGGAAAGTGTGGGTTCAGGGTAGGACTTTTTGGTGCCTTACTCTAGGTTCTTTCCTAAGTCCCTTCTGCATGCTCCCTCAGCAATACTATGGGTAAGCTCTATTCTGGAAGTGTTTTCTGTTCAAAAAGACTTTGTTTTGGGGGGAGGATTATAAACTGAATCTGTCTGTCTAGTTACTCTTCCTACTTCTTACATCTTTCCTATATGATCCCTTCAAAATTGATGGCTTGTTTGTTGATGTTTATCTAGCTCAATTTTCTATCAGTCTCCGTCAATCCAAGGTTTAAGAAGGGTGTCTCACCCCTGCCTGGTGCATGTAACATCATCATTGTCTTTGGGCTATAGCAGCAATTCTCAAAATATAGTCTTCAATGAGAGCAAAACTATTTTCTTAGTAATACTAAGATGTAATCTGACTCTTTCACTCAGTCTGTCATGAATGTACAGGGTATGAAACATTTACTGATACAGTTTCAGATTCCATATTACAACCAATCTTTAAGAAACTACCACTTGTCAAGTTTGGTGTAGTATCAAAGAAGAATACCCACAATTATCTCAAAAGGCTGCTAAAATACTCCTCTATTTTCCAACTACACATCTGCATGAGGCCAGATTCTCTTCATATACTTATGCCAAACAATATATCACAACAGACTGAAAAGAGAGGCAGAGTGAGAATGCAACTGTCTTCTAAACCAGACATGAAAGAGATTTGTAAAATATATAAACAATGTCACTCTTATCACTAATTTTTTGGAGGGGAAAATAAAAGTATTTCTCATAAAAATTATTTATTTTAACATATAAAGTTTTAATTGTCATTTTTAAATGAATCAAGGATATATATTTTAATTTCTCTGTTTAAATTATTTATACCATAAATATTGATAGATATGTTCCACCTAAAAAAAGAACTCTTTTTTAGGTCCTCAATAATTTTCTGAGTGTTAAAGGCATCCTAAGATTAAAAAAAGTTTAAGAAACATTGGTCTATAGAATTTGTTCTTTTTAAATGGAGCTCCCCCCTAAAATCTAAAAACATGTGGCATCTTTAGCCTACAGGCTAGAGAGAATACACCCTGCAACATCTCCATCAGACTGAGTGAAGACCTCAGGAAGCCTCTAAGCTCCTCATGGAGACTCAGGACAAATCATATCAGGACTCAGCTACGTACTAATAAACCACCAAGCCAATACCCCTGCAGAATCACCGTCCTTCTCTGCTTCTAATCACAACCCCTCCATCAAGTGTCTCTGGAAGTGATAGTCAATCATGTTACCCCTAGAAGGACTCATAAATATATAGGTATTCAGGTGTGGATTACAATCTACGAAGAGGGAAAGTCGATCATGAAGAAAAGCAGCTTCCGAAATCAACAGCACTTCTTGTCATATATCCTAAAAGATAAGATCTCCAGGTTTCCTTCCTTGGTCCACTGCTCTCCGGAACAAACACTGTGACTCTTTCATAGAATGTTGATGTTTTACTCCCCTGGACAAATACTGTGATTATTTTTTAATCTTATTTGGACAAATAGCATAACTATGTTTAATTGTAGGTAGCCCCCTTCAACGAGCCCTTTTCAAGTTTGTCAACTTGGGACCATAAGCTCTGCCCTCCACCAATCTTCCCTCCACCCTAACCTCCCATATCTCAAAATCCAGCTGTATCACCAGGACCAGGATTTCCACTGACACTTGTACATGTTGTGATAGACCATAGACTTAACCTAGAAAGGAAAGAAAATGAAATATAATCAGGATGGTAGATGGGAAGACTACGGACGGGTGGAAGCTAACGTGGTCTCAATTAGTTGGCTGAGTAGAGGCAGTACGTTAGCGGGTGCTTGTCGTATCATAATCATCATAGATTTGTAGAGATTTATATGAATTTGTATAGATGTATGTATGCAAAATTATAACAGTTTTCTGGCATATGGCAATTTATTAGGTTACTGTGAAGTATAGAGGAAAGGGAGAAAGAAAGGAGCTCCACCTACCCTCAGATGCTCTGAGCCTTCCCTCTGCTTCTCGCACTCACGTTTGCCTTGATATTTCAGTGCTGTTGAAGACATTATCTCATTTCTGCAAAGATGGGCCAGGTTTCCAAAAGGGGTACGGCCTCTATTGCAGCTGTCCGGCCAACTCTACTCTAAACCATAGGCTGAGAAGGAAAGGAGTCTGGGGAGAAAAGCAAGAGTTGGGAAGAAGGATAAGGAGAGGGGAGAAAAGCCTGTAGCTGTATCTTTGGGCCAAACTTTCAGAACACATTTGCAAATCAGAATAATAAAAATCCAGGGCTAATCTGGATCGTATTTCCCAAAGATCTGCCACGGCGGCTACTTGGAGATTGCCTGGCTTGCTGCTCTATAAAATAGGGAGCTTCCACATTTGTTTACATCTCTTTGGGGAGGAATTATCTTATTGTTACTTGACTTCCAGTCTTATGCTCCCCCCATACTTTAACTGTATATTGTTTGATTCATTTCTCTTCTTTTTCCCAGATGATGTCAAACACAATACCTGAAAGAAACATTTTGCTCCAGACATATTTGTTGAATTAATGATGGGTAGGATAATTTGGAATCACTCTTCAGCAGGTTTTCTAAAGCCTTCTTTTTGATCCCCAGGGAAATCCCTCCTTCCTCTGTGTACCCCAGGCCAAAAGAATTTTTAAATTCTGAATTAAAAACTCTGGGTGAAGTCCAGGTATGGATAAGTTTGAAGACTTCCTCCAGATGATTCTAGTGTGCAGGCAGTGTTATGAATTTCTAGGACCCACTTCAGATAAAGAAAATATTTTTATTCATCATTGTACCCAGCAGTACCAGCCCAATGTCCAAAATTAAGAAGATTCTCACTTATTTGTTCCATTCAATCCCTTCAATGTTTCATTAGCCTTTGATTGAAGATCAATTTTGCATTACTAGGGATGGAAAATACTAGGCTAGGAGAAGACTCTTCAGTCTCATCCCAATTATATAACAATTTTATGATGTGACCAGTAGATCTAGTATGGCCTCTTGCTTTTTTCACATTTGTGAAGTAATGGGCTAGGCTAAATAAGGGTTAAGTTTCCTCCAGCCTTAGAATTTTGAGCACTAAATGGAAGTGAGCTATTTGGGCACATGGTACCATAGAAAGAAAATTTATTAATTTTTTTCAAGTTCAATGCTAGCTTATTTAAACTCCCAATAACCTTATAAAATAGGCTTTGTTCCCATATTGAAGATAAGGAAACTGAGGTGTAATATTTGGTGATTTTGTATACAAGTTTTAACCCAAATAAATCCAAGTCCAGAGCCCAGTCTCCTCTCACCACACAGGGCCTCTGTACAAGGAGAATGATTTATATAAGGCGGCTGCCCTGGTGGTGCTGCCAGAAGAACAGGTGGCTGCACTAGGATGGAAAACAATGTCTTTCCCCGGCTTTCAATATAGGACGCAACTGAAGACCAAATTGCACTAGATATGTTATTAAATCAAAATATCACTTTTTCCCCTTGATTTCATTCCCATTTCTGTAGTGAAGCCTACCATAAAGGATGGATGCATTTAAAAGTTCTTTCTAAAGAGCTGTTAAAAATAAAAATTAAATTCTTCCCTTCTCTGTAAAGATCCTAGGGCTAGTAACCCCATGCACACCCAGGTCCATGCCAATTATTATTCAGTCCAGGTATGACCTTGGCTACAGGGTCAACAGCCTTGGAACTACAATAGCTAATCATGTTCATTAAAATTATTAAGTTCTAAAACCCCAAAGAAAGCTTTTATGAAATGATGATCAATCAAAAAGGAGAACTAATCAGTGGATCCCAGCCTTTTCTTTTACTTGTGAGACACTCATTTCAACATGAAAAAAATTGAATGTAGTTGTACTTTTAGTATCTCATTGAGTGAGAAATTCACAATAATAAAAAGTCACTATAAATTTAGTAATGCTTTGAAATTAATCTGGAGTTTGTTCCTTATATAGCATCTACATACATCTGAAAAAATAATTATTCACATACACATGAGACAATCTGAACAGAAAATACAGGTGGGGCCAACTGTTAATGACCCTGGATGAATGCTATGGAAATTGGTAGGCAATAAGGACTCAAGGAGCCAAGAGAGGTTTTTAAGCAAAATGACAGAATCAGATTGATTAAAAAGGATCTGGTGACAATGTACAGGATGAATAGGTTGTGGAAAGACCAGCCCAGAAAATCCATTAGGAAGCATGAGATGATGTCGGCAACACATCCTTACCATGAACCAAATGCTGCTGAACATGAAGACCAATTTGACAGGGGATAATGGAGAGGAAGGAGTCAGGACACTTCTAGATTTAGAGAGTGTGTGAAAGATAGAATTGTGAAGCAAAATACATACAAAAGAGGAGGTATTTGTGTTGTTGAGTTTGAGGGGAGGGGTAGAGTTGGAATGAGCAGGAATTTTGGAAGGCAGTAGACCACAGTTGTTATGGTGACAATTTAGGATTCAGATGCGTCTGTGTTCAAAACCAACGTCTGTGACTTGCTGACTATGTCAGCTTGGGCAAAATCCCTAACCATAATGAATCTGTTCCCTCATTTGAATATAGGGACAGTGATACACAGTATAGATACAACGATACAGCACGCACTTAGGGATTAGAGATGTGCCAGCACGTGACGATGGCATGATCAACGTTGAGTGCAATTATTATTATGTAAATTTTCAAACCATCAGAAATGTCCAGGAGTTGAAGCCATGCTACTTAAATTGGAGAATTGATCTTCATCCTGAGAAACAAGAGAGAAAAATCAAAGTAGGGATCGCTGGATGTCAAGACTAGAGAGACAGTCAAATGAGAGGGAAGAGGTGAGAAAACGAGGAGAGGCTGGAGACCTGAAGCCGAGGAGGTAAGAGTTTTAACAAGCAAGGAAAGAGCTGAATATCATCCCAGTTTTCACTGAGTATTGGCGACAGAGCTAAAAATCAACCCTGGATTTGCCCATGGATTAGTCATCAGTATGAAGAGAGATGTGAGGATAATGGCAATATGCAGGGAGTGACTTTACCCTAATTTATAAGGTAAGACATGTATAAGATAAGAGAGTGGAGCTTAAATTCAAAACAAGAAGACCCTAGTGCAAAGCAAGGAATAATTTGGTTCAATTAAAAAAAAAGGTGTGTGGGGAGAGAGTCATTCCACATACTTTTTTTCCCCTCCCCTCCCAAATCTACTCCATTAATAAATTATTTTAGTTCTCCTATCAAATTAAATCCCAAGTCCATTTACCTCTTCTCTGGTCTCTCTATGGCTACCACCCTGGTTCAGATTGCTATCAGTTCCCTCCTGTACTACTAACCACTTAATTAGTGTCCTGGTTTCACCTTACTCCTCCGAGAAATGATTCTCTGTAGCATTAGCCAAGGAATTTTGAAAAAATGTTAATCAGATACTATTCCCCTGCTTCAAACCTTCAGCTGTTTCCCACTGCATTTAAAATACAACCCTCGGGCTTCCCTGGTGGCGCAGTGGTTGAGAGTCCGCCTGCCGATGCAGGGGACACGGGTTCGTGCCCTGGTCCGGGAAGATCCCACATGCTGCAGAGCGGCTGGGCCCGTGAGCCGTGGCCGCTGAGCCTGCGCGTCCCAAGCCTGTGGTCCGCAACGGGAGAGGCCACAACAGTGAGAGGCCCGCATACCGCTAAATAAATAAATAAATAAATAAAATTTAAA